AGGCCGGGCGCGGTGGCTCAAGCCTGTAATCCCAGCACTTTGGGAGGCCAAGGCGGGCGGATCACGAGGTCAGGAGATCGAGACCATCCTGGCTGACACGGTGAAACCCCGTCTCTACTAAAAAATACAAAAAAAAAACTAGCCGGGCGAGGTGGCGGGCGCCTGTAGTCCCAGCTACTGGGGAGGCTGAGGCAGGAGAATTGCGTGAACCCGGGAGGCGGAGCCTGCAGTGAGCTGAGATCCGGTCACTGCACTCCAGCCTGGGCGGCAGAGCGAGACTCCGTCTCAAAAAAAAAAAAAAGAAGAGGCCAGCCCAGTCACCCCACAGGAAGTATGCTACCTTTTGGGTTTTTCTGCTGGCTTCCTGGTGGTATGATTTAACATGTCCCTCTCTCTTCCAGTTTTCCTGTCAGCTGGAAGTTAGATCGCATTTGCTTTGGGATCTTCCTTTAATCCTCTCCACAAGGCTCTGATGTGGTTACTCTCTACCCCCGTTTAGGCAGAGGGGAAAACAGAGTCTGAGGGTACCAAGATGGGCCTACAGTCCCATCTTCAGGGCCCACGTTCTCTCATCCACCTCTGGCCTGGTTCTCCTCCCCAGTCCCTGACACCTGTCTGCGGTCAGTGGTGCTGAGCCTGGGTCTGGCCTCTCCCCTTCTCTTTCCTGCAGTCCTTATCCAGCAGCCCTCAGGCCCAGCCCCCTCGGCCAGCAGAGCTGTCAGATGAGGAAGTGGCTGAGCTCTTTCAGCGGCTGGCAGAGACACAGCAGGAGAAATGGATGCTGGAGGAGAAGGTGCTGCCTGCCTGCCTGCCCATCCCCACTTGAAGTGCCCTTGGGGGTGTGGGGTCTGTCCAGGGCCCGCCTCATGTGTGAACATGTACAGTAGAGGGGTCTCAGGTGGGCTGGGCCATCTTGCAGGTGAAGCACCTGGAGGTGAGCAGTGCTTCCATGGCAGAGGACCTCTGCCGGAAGAGCGCCATCATTGAGACCTACGTCATGGACAGCCGGATCGGTCAGTGCCCCCTTTTCCCTGGCCCTCAGCCCTGGTCCAGCCTTCACCTGGCCCTCCCTCTCCATTATGTGCTGCGGCTTCTCTCCTCTCCTCTCGGAACTCAGCGAAGCTACTGACAAGACCATGGCCTGTGGAGGGGAGAACAGGAAAGCACTGTCTCTTGATCTTGCCTCCTCCCTCTTCTTCCTTTCTCTGTCATCTCTCCACTCTCCATTCTCCAGTGTGTCTCTCTGTCCGCTTTCTCCTTTCCTCTCCCTGTGCCTCATCTTCCTCTCCTCTCTCCCTTCTCTCTTCTCCCTGTTTCTCTTTTTCACCCCACTCCTTCATCTTGTCTCGCTGTCTATACTGTTCTATCTCCATACATTTTCCTTCTCTGTATCTTCATTGCTTTTGCTCCTTTCTTTCAAACCTTCTCCTTCACAGATTTTTCTTTATTAATCAGAATCATACTGACCAACATGTGCTGAGGACTTTCTGTGTGCTCTGTGCTTCACACTCAGTCATGTGCATCTTTCCAGTTCCACAAGTTAGTTATCCTCATTTCTCGGGGCCGCAGAGCTAGTGAGTGACAGAGCTAGGTTTCGTATGTCAAAGCCTCTGTCCTCCATGACATGGCTTTTCCTGCTCCCTTCTTCCCTGGTATTCGTCTCCCTCTTTTCTCCTCTGGCTCTGCCTGGCTCTCCTCTGGCTCTGCCGAGGGGGTTGTTCTCAGCCTGGGCCCTTGCAGATGTGTCTGTGGCAGCAGGCCACACAGACCGCAGCGGGCTGGGCAGCGTCCTGAGAGACCTAGTGAAGCCAGGCGACGAGAACCTTCGGGAGATGAACAAGAAGCTGCAGAACATGCTGGAGGAGCAGCTCACCAAGAATATGCACTTGCACAAGGCGAGTGTGGCCTGCCAGCCTACCCATCTGTTCACCCAGCCACCTGCCTACCCAGCCACAGCCCCTGGGTTATCTGCCAGTCCCCTTGCCCACCCACCCAGCCTGTCCTCCCAGTTATCCTCCTACCCACTCATCAACTACCCCATCATGCTCTCATCTTCCACTGTCTCATCAAGTTATTATCCATTCATTCCTTCCATGTATCCGCTCATCCATTTATCTACACATTCACCCAACCATTTGCCCATCTGTCCATCTGCCCAATCTACTACTTACTCATCTCATTGTCTACCCCATGTCCTGCCACCCATTTCTTGACATATCATTCTCTTATCTACTCATCAATTGCCCCTTGTGTTACCTTTCACCCACCCGGTGACCTGCCTGCCCACCTGTTGATCTCCATCTGTCCTCTGGACAATTCATTCGTCCACCAATTTGTCTACCACAGATCCCCCATGCCCATGAGTCCACACACACATCTTTTTGCCCAACCTGCCACCCAAAGACTTTCCCCATCTCTGAGAGTCAGAAAGGAGTCAGACCCAGCTCCTGCCTTTGAGAAGCAAGCTCACACTTAGTAGAAGGGCAGGTGACCAGAGTGGTGATGTATCCTGCAGCAGCACCATGCCGCAGGAGGCGTCCCACTCCCATATCTGTAGCTCCCCACCCATCCTCATGACTTTTCTGAGCCCAGCCCACTGCTGGGGGTGCTGTGAGTACCTTCCCATCCCAGGCCAGACACAGCTGAGCATTGATTAATGAAAGGGTGTGAAGGAAATCACAGATGATACTCTGCATTTGGCAAGGGAGCAGCCTGTCCCCTTTTCTGGCCCCTGATGGTTCATTTGTTTCTTAGGACATGGAAGTTCTGTCCCAGGAAATTGTGCGGCTCAGCAAGGAGTGCGTGGGGCCTCCTGACCCAGACCTAGAGCCAGGAGAAACCAGCTAAAGACCTGCAGGCTGCACCCACCTCCTCCCCCTCCTACCCCCTAGGATGCCATTCCCTTGGGCTGTGGTGGGGAAATGAGGGCTGAAGCCAAAATCAAATAGCTTGGGAGACTGGACATTAAAGGGACTAGAGGCCTGATGGTTAGTGTTAATGATCCTGTCTTAGGGCAGAGGCCACCAGGGAGTGGGGATCCTGAAGGAAGGGGCAGGGATTTCTCCTTCTTCTTGGTCCTGGCTCCCAAGGGCTTCTGTCTTCATCTCTGCATGAGCTCTCCTTCCCAGAGACCAACTCTTTTTTATTTTATTTTATTTTATTTTTTAATTTATGTCTGGAGCCTGGCTACTCTGCGTTTGGGATTGGGGATGTTGGGTGGGTGTGTGGTCCATGTTCAGCGTTCTAGCAACACGTGTGTGTGTGTGTGTAAAGGCTGTGCAGCCAAAATACCATCTGGCCAGACGGGCCCACCCACTGACTGTCTCGTCTCATTCTTTTCAACCAAGAGGGACGTGCTGGGGGCGGGGAGGTTCACACCATTGGAATAGGGAGGGAGATCTCTGGCTGCAACGTTACTCTCTTTTCCTCACCCTCATCCAGCCTGTCTCCATTTACTGCTGACCAGCCCCTCAAACTGAGTAGAGCTGAAATACTTGCAGATATGTACATGGGTAGACATGTATGGGATTGTGGGTATAGATGAGTAGATAGACGGGGGGGATGGGTAAGTGGTTGGATGGACAGATGGATGAATAAGTGGACAGTTGCATGGACTGATGATGGATAGGTTGGCAAATAAATGGATGGATGGATAGGTGGTTGGATGAATAAATGGATAGATAGATTGGTGGGTGGATAAATAGAGGATGGATAGTAGAGATGTAAATGGACAGATGGATAATAGGTCTATGGACAAATGGATGGGTGGAGGAATTAGGTAGATAGGTGGATGGATGGGTTTATGGACAGGTCGGGAGTAAATGGACCAATGGTTAGGGGAATGGATGGATGGGTAGATGAGCTCATGAATGGGAAGGGTAAACAGTGGGAGAAGAAATGATGAGTGGAGCTATGTATGGACAACAAAGGGCAGAGGATGTCACCCTGCGTGTATTCCAGGTGGGAAGAGATGGGTGGAGGATGGATACATACAGATAGATTGGCAAATAGGCAGATGGGGTGAACTTACACATGGATGAATGAGTGGGTGGGTAGATTAACAACTAAGTGGACAGATGGGTGGGTGGAGGGATGGATAGAGTAATTGGTTGTGTGGGTGGGAGAATGGATGGATGGGTAGGTGGAGGAATGGATGTAGAAATGGACAAATCAGGAGTGTGCCAAGTGGGCAAATGGAAGATTACATGGGTGGGTAATTGGATGAAAGGCTAGGCCTGGCCCTGCGTTACAGTGCCCCTGTCATCACACTCCTTTAATTAAGATTAAGCATCCCTGGTGTGTGCTGTGTCCAGTGCTATCACCTTTCACATCATGTAATGCTCCAAATGATGCTATCAACTTGGGATAAGTCTCTCCATCTGACAAATGAGGAAACAATGCAAGTCACTTGCTCAAGGATGCAGCAAGTCAGTGGCAAAGGTGGGGTCTGAACCCACTCATAGCCAGCCAGAGGCATTCCATAATCAGTGCTCCTGCCATCCAGAAGCAGAGCCCTCTAGCGGAGGAGGTATGATTTGAGGCCACTGGATGTGGACAGATAAGAGAGACTGCCCCCTCAGAGTGGGGCCTGCCTGAGAGACGACTTGGTAGAGGGGTGGGACCTGGATTGTCCCCCTCTACATTCCCTTTATCCTCATTTCATATCTAAAAACAGGAAGTCGTGTGCTCCAGTCCCACAGCCGAAGTCTTAGAGCTGGGGCTCTAACCCATGCTGCGTCCCTCAAGGGGGCAGCTTCGGAAGCTTGGCCATCTAGAGAAACACTCCCCAGCAATTACCCCCGACTCCTGGCTCTCCTGCCCTTCCACAGTCTGGGGGGCAGGGAGGGGACAGCGCTGCATCATTCCCTGTGGCACTCCGCTCTGGGGCCATTAACAGACGCCTCCCCATCGATCGGATCTGCTAAGTGCTGCTGATTCAGGCGAGTGGGGGTGGGGGCCCCTGGGGGCAGAGGGGGTAGGAGCTGGGCAGGAAGAGAGGGGAGTCCAGGAAGGAGGTGGAGAGAATTGGCAAAGTTCCCTGCCACCCCCATTTTCCAGATGACGCGACTGAGGCCCAACCAGCTTTGTAGGAGGCGGAGTCTCCCCAGGGTCCCTCTCTGGCTGTCCTAGGGGAGGGGGCTCGGGGAGCCACGAGGCCCCTCCCTGCCTCCCTCCATCTCCCGGCAAGCTCGGAGGGGCGGGGAGAGAGAGCCAGAGGAGGAGGAGAACTCAGGCAGCTCTGCAGAGGGGGCCAGGAGCTCGGGTGTTTGGTACCCCCAGCCCCACCGCTGTTGCTGCTGCTGCAACGGGGACACAGGTGAGGACGGCCCGAGAGGGAGGGGGAGGGGGACCACCACTAGCGCTGTCCTCATCCTTCCCTGGTCCAGCCCCCATGCCCTAGCCCATCCTGGGATAGTCCCCCGGGGTCCCACTGGACCTTGCCCTTCCCAGGCCTCCTTCCGGGGACCCTGCGCCCTCTCCCTGCCTATGCCACCTCTCCTACGCCTGGCTGTGGTTGCTTCTCTTCCTCCTGCTGCCGCTGCTGCTACTGCCACTGCCCAGCACACACCGCCAGCCCCTCGGGGTGTGGTTTCCCCAGACCTGCCCCCAACGGTGGGACCCAGCCTTCTCCCGGCCTCCCCTGCCAGCTTCCTGCAAAGCCCAGGAGCCCCCCTCCCCGGAGACACACCCAACTCCCTTTCAACACCCCACCCTCCTCTTAACCCCATTTTGGGGGTAACCCCCTTCCTCTTATTTAGTCTTCATAGATCCCCTGGGTGCTCTGGGACTGTGCCCAACTTCCTAACATTTGAGTCCCAGCTCCTTGGAATTCCCCAGGCCCCTTTTTCCTCCCCGTAGAACTCCTGAGACTGTCGACCAGGCTTTCTTGGCCCCTCTAGATACCCACCTCCCCCAGATAACTCTCAGCCTCTCAAAAAATAACCCAGCCCCCTATCCACCCCTTTGGATAACCTCTTCCCCTCTCCAGCCCTACTAGGCGGCCCTCGCCTCTCCTTTCTTCCCCAGAACTCCTCTAGAGTACAGACATCCCCCCAGGCTATTCTTGGCAACTCTAGGCAGTCCCAAGACACCTTTCAGCCTCTTTACAACCTCCTGGATCCACAGCCACCCCTCCAGATGCACCAGCTGCCTTTCCAGATCCATGAGGGGGGTCTAACCCTCTTATGCTTCCCCTAGAAGCTTGAGGGTGTGGACAACCCTCCTCACCTGTCTCAGCCCCTCTAGAACCCCCACTTCCAGACACTCTCAGTCTCTTTCAAGCACCTCTGGTCCCATTTCTACCCCTCCGGATGCCCCAGTCTCCTCTCCACCTCCACAAAGGAGTTCCAGGCTCTTCTGCCTTCCCTGAGACTCTTGAGAGTGTAGAGAACTCCTCACGTGTTTCTTGGCCCCTCTAGACGCCCCCAGACACCTCTCAGGCACAGGCTAACTCCTTTAGAATCATCTCAGTCTCTCTAAACCCTCCCTCAGCTCCTTCTTGGCCCCATCCCCACACCTCTTTTCTGTTCTCTATGTCCCCAAGTCCCTTCTTAGTCCCTCAGGACATTGCCCAGGCCCCTCCTAGGCTCTGTAAATGTCCCCCAAACTCCTTCCCGTCTCTCTAGTTCTTCCTCCTGGTTCCTCTTGGCCTCTCTAGACACCCCCAGTTTCCTTGTTCAGGTGGCTCAAGGCGTCTCCAAGCCCCCACCATCCTGGAGACAGCCACATTCTCCTACACGCCACCCTCACTAACTCTCCCTGGGCTTGGGGAGCGGCACGATGGCGGCAGGCCTGGCCACGTGGCTGCCTTTTGCCCGGGCGGCAGCGGTGGGCTGGCTGCCCCTGGCCCAGCAGCCCCTGCCCCCAGCACCGGGGGTGAAGACATCTCGAGGAGATGAGGTTCTGGTGGTGAACGTGAGCGGACGGCGCTTTGAGACCTGGAAGAATACGCTGGACCGCTACCCAGATACCTTGTTGGGCAGCTCAGAGAAGGAATTCTTCTACGATGCTGACTCAGGCGAGTACTTCTTCGATCGCGACCCTGACATGTTCCGCCATGTGCTGAACTTCTACCGAACGGGGCGTCTGCACTGCCCACGGCAGGAGTGCATCCAGGCCTTCGACGAAGAGCTGGCCTTCTACGGCCTGGTCCCCGAGCTAGTTGGTGACTGCTGCCTTGAAGAGTATCGGGACCGAAAGAAGGAGAATGCCGAGCGCCTGGCAGAGGATGAGGAGGCCGAGCAGGCCGGGGACGGCCCAGCCCTGCCTGCGGGCAGCTCCCTGCGGCAGCGGCTCTGGCGGGCCTTCGAGAATCCACATACGAGCACTGCAGCCCTCGTTTTCTACTACGTGACCGGCTTCTTCATCGCCGTGTCGGTCATCGCCAATGTGGTGGAGACCATCCCATGCCGCGGCGCTGCACGCAGGTCCTCGAGGGAGCAGCCCTGTGGCGAACGCTTCCCACAGGCCTTTTTCTGCATGGACACAGCCTGTGTACTCATATTCACAGGTGAATATCTCCTGCGGCTGTTTGCTGCCCCCAGCCGTTGCCGCTTCCTGCGGAGTGTCATGAGCCTCATTGACGTGGTGGCCATCCTGCCCTACTACATTGGGCTTTTGGTGCCCAAGAACGACGATGTCTCAGGCGCCTTTGTCACCCTGCGTGTGTTCCGGGTGTTTCGCATCTTCAAGTTCTCCAGGCACTCACAGGGCTTGAGGATTCTGGGCTACACACTCAAGAGCTGTGCCTCTGAGCTGGGCTTTCTCCTCTTTTCTCTAACCATGGCCATCATCATCTTTGCCACTGTCATGTTTTATGCGGAGAAGGGCACAAACAAGACCAACTTTACAAGCATCCCTGCGGCCTTCTGGTATACCATTGTCACCATGACCACGCTTGGGTGAGTGCGGACTCCATGTTGGGGGCTGCCTGATTACACTCACCCTTTCTGTAAAATTAGGAAGTTTAAAGGAATGATCTCCTTCCTCCCTCCCTCCCTCCCTCCCTCCCTTCCTTCCTTCCTCTTTCTTTTTTAGATGGAGTCTTACTCTGTTGCCCAGGCTGGAGTGCAGTGGCAAGATCTCAGCTCACTGCAACCTCTGCTTCCTGGGTTCAAGTGATTCTCCCGCTTCAGAATCCCAAGTAGCTGGGATTACAGGTGCATGCCACCATGCCCAGCTAATTTTTGTATTTTTAGTAGAGATGGGATTTCACCATGTTGGCCAGGCTGGTCTCAAACTCCTGACCTCAGGTGATCCGCCCACCTTGGCCTCCCAAAGGGCTGGGATTACAGGCATGAGCCATCGTGCCTGGCCTCTCTCTCTTTTTGAGCTTCAGTTTGCTAATCTGTACAAACTGAAGGAGCTGGACTTATTCTTCAGATCCCTCCCAGCTCTGACAATGCCTTGATTTTCTAGGTCAGGAGACTTGGGTTCAAGGATTGTCTTAGCTGCTCTCTTTCTGTTGATGTCATTTTCTCATGGCCTCAGTTTTCCCCTCTGTAAAATGGGGAATGCTGATCCCTTCATCATCTAGAGAGGATTCAATGACATCACAGTTGTGAAAGTTCTCTGAATGTTTCTGGTGCAGGATACATAGGTGTTGGCTTTCTAGCACCTCTTTTTCTGTTTTGGGGACCCATGTCTCCCAACCTTCTAGAATTGTCTGCTGTGTGGGGCACTACTTCTGTGCCTTTGTGATTCCTTGATGTTTCCCAGAACAAGATGTTTTCAGCTTCTTTTTTTTTTTTTTTTTGGTAGATCCCTGCAGAAGAAACAGAGTTCGGATAAAAGTATCAAATGGAATCATTGAACTCATGAGCTTTCTAAAGATACTGTCTAGGGCAGATGCTGTGATCCTTCTCTAAGTTTCCATCACTGGGATTGGGTATACAGTTGGTGCTCAGTATCTGTTGAAGGAATGACTGAATGAGTTGGGTTTGCTCAGTTTCTTCATAGAGGTACAAAAAAAGTTGACTTGGGGTTTCTAAAGCGTAGAAACCCCAATTCTAGTTGGAGGTCCAGGATCAGACCAACAAACAAATACAGAGCACTGACAGTAGGCTGGAACTGAGTATTTTGATGGCTTTTACTCTATTCAAGTCCTCACAACAACTCTGTGAGGGTGGATGTCTGCCCATGTCTCATAGTTGAGGACACGGTCTGAGATGACACATCAGAGAGCCAGCAATGGCCAAGTTGGAGAGACTTTTGAGCAGAGTCCTGAATGCTTAAAATGAGTCAAAATACAGAAATAAGGAACAGCCATCCTAGGGCACAGTGAAAAGGCTTAGAGGCTAAAGACTGCAGAGACTGTTTCTGTGGAGGAGTTCTGATTGGTTCTGCGGTCAGAACAAAAGTATGCAGTGTGATCTTGGGCGAGTCAGTTACAGAACCCCCCTGATCTTCAGGGGAGCTCTCTGTGAACAAGTTAGTAAGGTTGGCTTGGCTCTATCTCTATGGGAGGTGGGTGGCATGGAGAAAGACAGGGGGGTTTCAAGGCTCCTCCCTGTTTTGTCATATGTGGACAGTTTTCAAAGATTCCCCTACAGGGAAATGAAAAGGGGTCCTACTTAGACCGGGTAAGAGAGGCAGCCAAAACCAACAAAACACTCAGCCTGGGACTTGAAGCCCTTCGACTGGCCCATGGTGCTGGGACTCTCCTCCTAGGAGGAGGCTGTGTTCACTGTCTGTGACTTCCTCATGCTCCCCTCTGTTGGTTTTCATAGATTTCTAGCTGACTCAGGTGCTTGGTATGTAGCTTGGACAGGGGCAGCAGATGGTAGGGGTTGAGGGCCAGGCCCATTTCTCACTTGACTCCCCAACATTTTACAGAGCAAGAAACTGAGGGACTCAGAAGGTTTGAGTGCCTGGCCAGGGTCACAGAGCTAGCCCGGATTAGATGGGATGGAGTGAGGGACTGAAAGGTAGGTGGGCACTTTTCCTGACCTTGGCCTACCTCCCCTCACTCCAGCTATGGAGACATGGTGCCCAGCACCATTGCTGGCAAGATTTTCGGGTCCATCTGCTCACTCAGTGGCGTCTTGGTCATTGCCCTGCCTGTGCCAGTCATTGTGTCCAACTTTAGCCGCATCTACCACCAGAACCAGCGGGCTGACAAGCGCCGAGCACAGCAGGTAACTGCGCTTTCCATCCGAGCACCTCCCACTCCCTACACCCCAAGCCAGTCTACTTTGGGGCTTACCCACCTGACCTTTTATCTCCTCTCTCTGCAGAAGGTGCGCTTGGCAAGGATCCGATTGGCAAAGAGTGGTACCACCAATGCCTTCCTGCAGTACAAGCAGAATGGGGGCCTTGAGGTGGGTTGGGGCCTGGATTGGGGTTGCAGTGAGCCATAACAGGGGGAGGAAGGTGCTGCCCTTATTGCTCTGCTCCATCCACTCCAGGACAGCGGCAGTGGCGAGGAACAGGCTCTTTGTGTCAGGAACCGTTCTGCCTTTGAACAGCAACATCACCACTTGCTGCATTGTCTAGAGAAGACAACGGTGAGGCCTAATGTGAGGTGGTATAGCAGAATAGAAAGGGGTCCCTCTGAGGCCATGCCAGTTCTCTCCCTTGGATGGGAGGCTCACTACAAATTGTGGAAATCACACAGAGCTTCCTGGAAGAGGCTACAGGAGAGCCAAGCCTTGAAGGATGGGCAAGGGAAGGCAAGAGGGAGCAATTTACAGAAAGGAGAGAACAGCCTGAGCAAAGGCTTGAGGGTGGGATTAGCTCCCATGGGATGCCCCGTGACCCCGCCTCCCTTCTGCCCACAGTGTCATGAGTTCACAGACGAGCTCACCTTCAGCGAAGCCCTGGGAGCCGTCTCGCCGGGTGGCCGCACCAGCCGCAGCACCTCTGTGTCTTCCCAGCCAATGGGACACGGAAGCCTGCTGTCTTCTTGTTGCCCTCGCAGGGCCAAGCGCCGTGCCATCCGCCTTGCCAACTCCACTGCCTCAGTCAGCCGTGGCAGCATGCAGGAGCTGGACATGCTGGCAGGGCTGCGCAGGAGCCCTGCCCCCCAGAGGTAAGCAGCCCTCCTACCTGCTAGCCACAGCTGGGGAAGCTCAGAGCTTAGACCAGAAGCTCTGAGATTCCATGACTCCAGGCCTAGCAAGTCAAGCTCGAACCCAAACCCCTCCCTACTGGAAGCTTGGGCTTATCTTGTCTGGATCTCATTCTTCATCCATTCTTTTTTTTTTTTTTTTTGAGACAGAGTCTCACTGTCACCCAGGCTGAAGTGCAATGGCGGGATCTCAGCTCACTGCAACCTCCACCTCCTGGGTTCAAGCGATTCTCCTGCCGCAGCCTCATGAGTAGCTGGGGTTACAGGCACATGCCACCATGCCCAGCTAATTTTTGTATTTTTAGTAGAGATGAGGTTTTGCCATGTTACCCAGACTAGTCTCAAACTCCTCACCTCAAGTGATCCACCTGCCTCAGCCTCCCAGAGTGCTGAGATTACAGGCATGAGCCACCTCACCTGGCCTCTTCATCCATTCTTTCACCAAACATTTATTGAGCACCTATTGTGTGGCAGGCACAGTTGTAGGCAACTTGGATGTGGCAGTCAATGAACAGACAGAAGCCCCTGTATCCTATTCTAGTGGGATAAGACAGTTAACTTCTATTCTAGTGGGATAGGACAGTTAATAAACAAATACATAGATTATATAGCATATCAAACAGCTGTAAATGCCAAGGAGAAAAGTCAGTCAGGGATGGGGGCTAGAAAGCATAGAGCAGGCCAGGTGCGGTGGCTCATGCCTATAATCCCACCACTTTGGGAGGCCAAGGCGAGCGGATAACAGGAGTTCGAGACCAGCCTGGCTAACATAGTGAAACCCTGTTTCTATTAAAAATACAAAATACTAGCTGGGTGTGGTGGTGTGCACCTGTAATCCCAGTTACTTGGGAGGCTGAGGCAGGAGAATCACCTGAACCAGGGAGGTGGAGGTTCCAGTGAGCTGAGATCGCACCATTGCACTCCAGCTTGGGCAACAACAGCAAAACGCTGTCTCAAAAAAAAAAAAAAGAAAAGAAAAAAAAAAAAAAGAAAAAAAGCATAGAGCAGGTGGTGATGCAGATTTTTTTTTTTTTTTTTTTTTTTTGAGACGGAGTCTCGCTCTGTTGCCCAGGCTGGAGTGCAGTGGCGCGATCTCAGTTCACTACAAGCTCTGCCTCCTAGGTGCATGCCATTCTCCTGCCTCAGCCTCCTGAGTAGCTGGGACTACAGGCGCCTGCCACCACGCCTGGCTAAGTTTTTGTATTTTTAGTAGGGACAGGGTTTCACAGTGTTAGCCAGGATGGTCTCGATCTCCTGACCTCATGATCTGCCTACCTCGGCCTCCCAAAGTGCTGGGATTACAGGCATGAGCCACCGCGCCCGGCCTTTTTTTTTTTTTTTTTTTTGAGACTGAGTCTTGCTCTCTTGCCAGGCTGGAGTGCAGTGGCTCAATCTCAGCCCACTGCAACCTCTGCCTCCTGGGTTCAAGCGACTCTCCTGCCTCAGGCTCCCAAGAAGCTGGGCCTATAGGCATGCGGCACCACACCCAGCTAATTTTTGTATTTTTAGTAGAGACAGGGTTTCACCATGTTGGCTAGGATGGTATCGATCTCCTGACCTCATGATCCACCCACCTCGGCCTCCCAAAGTGCTGGGATTACAGGCGTGAGCCATCGCGCCTGGCTGCGTTTTTTGGTTTTTCTTTTGAGATGAAGTTTTGCTCTTGTTGCCCAGGCTGGAGTGCAGTGGTGCAATCTCGGCTCACTGCAACCTCTGCCTCCCGGGTTCAGATGATTCTCCTGCCTCAGCCTCCCGAATAGCTGGGATCACAGGTGCCCGCCACCATACCCAGCTAGTTTTTTATATTTATATATTTATTTATTTATTTATATATTTATTTATTTATTTTTGAGATGGAGTCCTGCTCTGTCGCCCAGACTGGAGTGCAGTGGCGCGATCTTGGCTTACTGCAACCTCCACCCCCCGGGTTCAAGCAGTTCTCTGCCTTAGCCTCCCAAGTAGCTGGGACTGCAAGTGCGTGCCACCACGCCCAGCTAATTTTTGTATTTTTAGTAAAGATGGGGTTTTGCCATGTTGGCCAGGATGGTCTCAATCTCTTGACCTTGTGATCTGGCCACCTCGACCTCCTAAAGTGCTGGGATTACGGGCATGAGCCACTGCACCCGCCAATTTTTTATATTTTTAGTAGAGATGAGGTTTCACCATGTTGGCCAGGCTGGCCTCAAACTCCTGACCTTCAGGTGGTCCACCTGCCTCGGCCTCCCAGAGTGCTGGGATTACAGGCATGAGCCACCACTCTCAGTTGGTGATGCAGTTTTAATAGTGTGGTCAGGGAAGGCTTTACTGAGGTGACAACTGAGCCAAGACCTGAAGGAGGCAAAGGAGTGGGCTATGCAGAGGAAGGAAGAGCTTTCTAAGCAGAGTGAACAGCCTGTGCAAAGGCCTTGAAGCAGATGTGGGTCCACATTAGAGACATAGCAAGGAAGCTATCATGGGTGGAGGAGAGTGAGCTAGGGGGAGAGTGGTAAGAGGCAAACTCAGAAAGGAGTGAGGGTCCCACCTTAGATCCTACTGTAGACACTTTGTAAGGACTTGGACACTGTTAGGAGTAACCATGAGAGAACATTTTCATGTGTATGCTCATTGTGTTCCAGACACTGCTCTGAGCACTTCGTAACATTTTCAATCTCATTTAATCTCCACAGCAACCCTATGGGAGATAGTGTTCATTCCACGCTACAGATGAGAGAAGAGAGAGGTTTGGAGTGGTTAAAATAGGACCAGGATTTGAACCCAGGACTGTCTGACTCTAGAGTCCTCACTCTTTTTTTTTTTTTTTTTTTTTTGAGACGGAGTCTCGCTCTGTCGCCCAGGCTGGAGTGCAGTGGCGCGATCTCGGCTCACTGCAAGCTTCGCCTCCCGGGTTCACGCCATTCTCCTGCCTCAGCCTCCCGAGTAGCTGGGACTACAGGCGCCCACAACCGCGCCCGGCTAATTTTTTGTATTTTTATTTTTATTTTTATTTTTTTTGAGACGGAGTCTTGCTCTGTAGCCCGGGCTGGAGTGCAGTGGCCGGATCTCAGCTCACTGCAAGCTCCGCCTCCCGGGTTTAGGCCATTCTCCTGCCTCAGCCTCCGGAGTAGCTGGGACTACAGGCGCCCGCCACCTCGCCCGGCTAGTTTTTTATATTTTTAGTAGAGACGGGGTTTCACGGTGTTAGCCAGGATGGTCTCGATCTCCTGACCTCGTGATCCGCCCGTCTTGGCCTCCCAAAGTGCTGGGATTACAGGCTTGAGCCACCGCGCCCGGCCAATTTTTTGTATTTTTAGTAGAGACGGGGTTTCACCGTGGTCTCGATCTCCTGACCTTGTGATCCGCCCGCCTCGGCCTCCCAAAGTGCTGGGATTACAGGCGTGAGCCACCACGCCCGGCGAGTCCTCACTCTTTACCACCATAATTGGGGATGCAGGAGAAGTACTTACGTCCTTAGCAGTGTCAGGGACCCAGTAGGTGCTCAATAAATGCCATGATTGCTATGGCAAGTATTAACTTTTTTTTTTTTTTTTTTGCGACTGAGTCTCACTCTGTTTCCCAGGCTGGAGTGCAGTGGCGCAATTTCGGCTCACTGCAAGCTCCGCATCCTGGGTTCATGCCATTCTCCTGCCTCAGCCTCCTGAGTAGCTGGGACTACAGGTGTCTGCCACCACGCCCAGCTAATTTTTTGTATTTTTAGTAGAGATGGAGTTTCACCATGTTAGCCAGGATGGTCTCAATCTCCTGATCTCGTGATCCGCCTGCCTTGGCCTCCCAAAGTGCTGGGATTACAGGCATGAGCCACCGCGCCTGGCTGATAACTTTTATTTATTTATTTATTTATTTATTTATTTATTTTGTGATGGCGTCTCATTCCGTCGCCCAGGTTGAAGTGCAGGGGTGCAATCTCAGCTCACTGCAACCTCCACCTCCTGGGTTCAAGCAATTCTCCTGCCTCAGCCTCCCAAGTAGCTGGGATTACAGGCATGCGCCACCATGCCCGGCTAATTTTTTGTATTTAGTAGAGACCAGGTTTCACCACGTTGGTCAGGCTGGTCTTGAACTCCTGACCTCAGGTGATCCACCCGCCTTGGCTTCCCAAAGTGCAGGGATTACAGGCATGAGCCACTGCACCCGGCCTAAGATAACTTTTTAAGAGCCTTCCATCTTTTCCACAGCCGCTCCAGCCTCAATGCCAAGCCCCATGACAGCCTTGACCTGAACTGCGACAGCCGGGACTTCGTGGCTGCCATTATCAGTATCCCTACCCCTCCTGCCAACACCCCAGATGAGAGCCAACCTTCCTCCCCTGGTGGCGGCAGCAGGGCCGGCAGCACCCTCAGGAACTCCAGCCTGGGTACCCCTTGCCTCTTCCCTGAGACCGTCAAGATCTCTTCCCTGTGAGGGGTAGACCTGCCCATTCAGAAGGTCCTCTTCATTTTTGGGAAATCCTTTCCAAAGCCATATTTTTGGGAGGCAGAGAGAGGCAGGCTTGGACACCCCTTCTGCCCCCCTACTGAGAACTATGCAATGGAGTTTCATGAAATGGTCCACATAGTGGGGAAGTAGCCAGGAAATGGGAAACTTCCCCCCACCCCAGACATTTTTCCTGGTGGGAGCTGAAGCACTGGGCTTCCACAGGCCCCTGGCCTCCTTGCCCCAGCACACTGGGACTGGCCCCACTCTCCCAGCTGGACTCCTGCATGCTCCTCCCCTTGGGCTCTCAGTTGAAGGTAAAGCTTTGATCTGATATCTGAGGTCTGGCCTAAGAAGGAGAGTTGAGACTTCCACCTCCCTCTGGCTGGGATATGGAGCTTTGGAGGTTCAGAGAAGAGAACCCTCACCTCTGATCTGGCCTCTACACGAGGTCCTCACCCTCTATCTGGCCCAACAATTCCCAGATTCTGAAGCTTGGAATGCAAACACAGGCTTCATGGGCTGTGGCCTCTGCAGTGACCTGCCATCCCCAGGCCTTGCCTGAGGGGTCAGGCTGCCTCTCCCAACACACAGATAGCACAAATTCTACCATCCCCTTCCCTGGCTGCTGGAAATGGGACCCCGCAACCCTGTCCTCTGCCGGGCCCCCAGCAAACTCTAGCAATAGCAGCTGCTGCCGTGTCATTATGCAAAGCCTCTGACCAGTTTGCTGCAGCATTTACATCTGCCCTAATCAGAGGGGCCACCTCTAACTCCTCCTCCTCCTCTCTTCTCCTCTGGTTTGCCTCCTTCCTGGGTTGGGCTGGAGTCTGGACTGGCCAAGATAAGAGCCTGGCAACCAGCAAGAGCTGGGCTGTATTTGGAGATCATGGGCTGATTCCATGTTCTTGGGCAAGAGTCCAGAAGCATCAGGGGCTCAGGCCTGGGATGTTTTTGAACTTTGGGAGTTATAGGAGACAGGAGGAACTTCTCCTCCTCCTCCCCTACAATTCCTTTTCCCATATTCCTTTCTTCTCCCTCTTGGGTCACCTTCCAGAACTCTGCTCTCAGGCTGAAATCTGGCATCATCTCAGGTTCCCTGTCCCCAGCACTGTCCCCATGGAGCTGGCGGCTGACAAAGATGTAGTTTCCATCAGTCAATAAAACCTGAGAGGAGAGATGAGGACTGAGTATCTCCTGGCTCTGTGGATTTGGGGGCTGGGTTGGGCTTGGGGGTTGAAAACACTCTGATTTCAATCCCTTTTGGCTAGGAGAAGGGCAGGTATGGGTCAAGGTATGGGAGATGGATGGTTGGTGATGTATTCTGGAAGATGGGGATCCAGGAGAAATGAAAGAACGTGGTTTGAGGAGTCCATCTACAGCCAGTGAGGCAGGCCAGGGGGTCCTGAGACATTCCTCCTTGGATATCATCTGCGCCAGCTTCCTGATTCACAGATGGGGAAACTGAGACCCAGAGAAACACATAGAGGAGACTTAAACCCAGGCTTCCTGACAGCAAACAACTCTGAATTTAACCCTAATAAAAGCATCACTTGGTTTGGTGAATTTCCTTTCCTTATGGACGCCCCCTACATTCTCTCTTCTGGGCTACTGGCTACACTAGGTTAGTGTGTGGCTGAGTTCTGTAGAGCACTGAGCAGACAGACGATGGATTCAGGTTGATCTGGGTTCCAGTCCCTGGGTGAGAGAATCATTTACCTTCTCTTGCCTCAGGTTGCTAATCTGTGAAATAGGGATAATTCATTTAGTCACCAAATATTTATTAACTTCCATTATGTGCCAGCCCTAGGGATACAAAGGTGGGCAAAGTAGACATTGTCTCTGATGTATAGTTGAGCATGGAAGGCAGACAAGTAATTACAACATGGTGTGGCAGAACTAAGATCCATGGGTTATAGAAGCATGCAGATGGCAGGAGAACTTAACCTGGCCAACACACAAGGAATGAGTTGGAGTTAGCCAGGCAGCAAATCAAAGGATGCAATGTTCTGGGCAGAGGGAACAGCATGTGCAATGACCTGGAGGTTAGAGAGTGAGCTCAGGCCTTTGGGGAACTGAAAGTATTTCAGTCCAGCTGGGGAGGAGAGTGTGGGGCTGAGGAGAGGAAGGATGGAGAGGTAGGCCAGATAACAAAAAGCTTTGACGCTATGACGCGAATTTTGAACTTCATCCTAAAGATAGTGGGGACTTCTAAAGGCTTTTAAACAGAAAAGTCATGATGAAGTTTGTGTTTCAGAATGATCATTCTGGCTATGGAGAGTAGATATAGAGAAACAGTCCTGGAAGGAAGAAAAGTAGGGAGGAGGCTTTTATAATAGTTTAGGTGGTAGGGGACAGTGGCTTGGACTAGAGTAGTGGCAGTAGAATTGGAGAGTCTAGAGATTTGGGAGGTAGAATTGGCAGGACTTGGGATTGACAGGCATGTGGGAGTTGAGGAAGAGGGAGCAGTCAAGGTTGACTCCCAGGTTCTGGCTTGGACAACGGCTGGATGGGAGTGCTATTCCCTGGTAAAGGGAACATCAAAGCTGTTAGCACTCAGTGCTAGGTACATAGTAAGTACTTGGTGAAGGGTAGCCATGATTACTATCTTGAGTTCAGTTTTAGATGTGTAGTGAGTGAAATATATGGGGCTAGGGTGAGATGGTCATGAGAAGATTCAATGTGATAATGTGCATCTGGCACAGAGCCATGAACACAACAGGCCTGGTAAACATGAAAGTCCCCTCCTCCCATTAAGTCTCATGAGCAGAAAACACTACTTAGAACCCATTTATTACTTACACCTTTCAGGGAAGAACTTCAACTAGGGTTAGTATCTGAAGGGAGGCAAGGCTATACTCAAAACAGCTTTCCCATGGTCTCTTTCAGTCAACCTGTTGTATGGCTTGTCTCCTAAGACTGGAAGTGAACTCCAAATACCTTCTTGGTTCATCAGCTCATCTGAACCCCATAACCATTCCCTGAGGTAGTCTGGGCAGGCATTATCATTCCCGTTTTACACATGGGTAATCTCAAAAGCAACACAATGACTTGCTCAAGATCATACAGTTGGTAATGGTCCATCTGTGCCTGGAACTGAGGTCTTTCTGGCTCCAAAGCCTACGATCCTTCCACTGCACCACCATGCAGACTACTTTATTGAACACTTCCTATGTGCTGGGCACAACACCAGGCCCTTCAGAAGCATTAATCTCTGATCCTCAGATTGGAATTATCATTGCCAATTTATAGAATAGAAATTGAGGATGGGTGCTCACTTCGCACCACATATACTAAACTTAGAACGATACAGAGAAGATTAGCATGGCACTATGCGAAAGGATGACACGCAAATACGTGAAGCGTTCTATAAAAAAGTAAACAACAATAACAAAAATTGAGGACGGGGTGGGAGTTAAATGACTGACAAAGATCAATCAGACAGGAAGCGCAGAGCTAGAATTAGCGTGTAGCTCTCCAGCTACTCAATAGCAGGGATTCTGCCAACCCCATTTCGAGACGCTGACTGGTGACAGAGCTGATTCATAAACCTCGATCGACCCAAGCAAACTCAGTTTTAGAAAAAGGCTGGGCTTGGCCAGGCGCGGTGACTCACGCCTGTAATCCCAGCACTCTGCGAAGCCGAGGCGGGAGGATCGCTTGAGCCCAGGAGGTGGAGATCAGCCTGGGCAACATAGCGAGACTTTGTCCCTACAAAAAAGTGAAAAAAAAATTAGCCGGGCGTAGTGGTGCGCGCTTGCGGTTCCAGCTATTCGGGAGACTGAGGCGGGAGGATCGCTTGAACCTTGGAGTTGGAGTTTGCAGTGAGCTATGATCGCGCCACCGCATTCCAGCCTGGGCGACAGAGTGAGACCCCCGTCTCGATTAGAAGGAGGGGAAAAAAAAAAAAAAAAAAAAAAAAAAGGCTGGGCCGCGCCTGCGCACTAGCCATAGGGCCGGGGAGGTCAACCCGAGGGCGAGAGTGCTGTGGTGCCAGAGAAGGCGTGTCTGTTTCCCAAACAACCACTGTCCCCACGGTGCTTGTCTGTCCCAAGGTTGGTCGGTATGACGCGAGTGACGGCGTCTTTTAGCCAATCACCGCAGAACTCAGGCTGTTGCCGGGGTGAAGCGGTGTCCGCCTCCCCCGGAAGGATATTTGTAGGTGGGTGGGACCGGAAGTGACGCTACAGGGGAATGCTATGCTCTGGGAGTGTTGATGTTTTCCAGTCATTCCGGCTGACAGCGTTCAAGTTGGAAGCCTGGAGGGGAGGTGTTTTTCCTGTCGTACGTGGGACAGGCCACGCTGTCCGTCCGCAGTACCGACGACTGCGAGTCAGAGCTTCGGGGAGAAAAGTGAAGAGCAAGACGGGACCGACGGGGAGAAAGGCTGGGAACCAGGGTGTCGACTTTGACTGAAATTTGAGACGGAGGGCACCGGAGGGCGAGCACTCGCCTGTGATTGGCCCGTGGGCGTCGTCGAGGACCCACGCAGCTGCTCAATTGGTTGGTGTTCGCAATTGTTGTGGCTGCGGCGGCGATTTTGCCCACGTACTTCCGAGCAAGGGGCGGGGCTGTGCCCTGGCGCGCGTGCGCAGCGCCCCGGGGCCCCACCCGGTAGTGCAAGAACCTGCGAGGGGGCGGAGCGAAGAGGTGCTTGTTTTGGTTCTGTTTCCTTTGAAGCAGAAGGCCGGAACAAGCGTAGCAATAAATTTGCTGGACTTGGAGAGAAGGTTCCGACAAACTCGCCGCACTGCCTTCATCTTGGACTTTACATCCGGGTTCTCCTCCCGGCGTGACCCGCGCGCCGCCGCCGCCGCCGCCGCCGCCGAGGGTTCTCGAACCGGTGCCGCGATCCCTTTATCCGGGTTTCGCCGTTCCCGTCGTGCTTAGCGCACTACATTAGCCCCCCCTCATCCGGGTTCTCTCCCGGCGTGCCTCGCGCCGGGTTTGTTGGGGGGTACTCGGCGGTGCAGCCATGACTATACTCCCCAAAAAGAAGCCGCCGCCTCCCGACGCCGACCCCGCCAACGAGCCGCCGCCGCCCGGGCCGCTGCCCCCGGCGCCGCGGCGCGGCGGGGGTGTGGGCGTGGGCGGCGGCGGCACGGGCGTGGGCGGCGGCGATCGCGACCGTGACTCCGGCGTCGTGGGGGCCCGTCCGCGAGCTTCGCCACCGCCTCAAGGCCCGCTACCAGGACCGCCGGGCGCACTTCATCGCTGGGCGCTGGCCGTGCCGCCTGGTGCAGTGGCGGGTCCCCGGCCACAACAGGCTTCTCCACCTCCTTGCGGGGGCCCAGGTGGTCCCGGCGGCGGTCCCGGCGACGCGCTGGGCGCAGCGGCGGCGGGTGTGGGTGCCGCGGGCGTGGTGGTGGGTGTGGGTGGTGCCGTAGGCGTGGGCGGCTGCTGCTCCGGGCCTGGGCACAGCAAGCGGCGACGTCAAGCTCCCGGGGTTGGCGCGGTTGGCGGGGGCAGTCCCGAGCGTGAGGAGGTCGGCGCAGGCTACAACAGTGAGGACGAGTATGAGGCGGCTGCAGCACGCATCGAGGCTATGGACCCTGCCACTGTCGAGCAGGTAAGAGCTGCGGGATGAGGGGTGGGCGGCTACGGCAGATGGGACCCCCAGACTGTGAAGAGCCTCAAGGAAGGCTGTTTGAGATCGCCCCAAGGGATTTAGGCGTTTTCACTGGGCCTGATAGTCTTCTCTGGTGGTAGGGGTGTGAGATGCCTTCTTTCCTCCCCTCCAGGGATTTGGGGCTAGAGGCCTACGATAAGGTGGCAGACTTAAAGATGGGATCCGAGGCCTCTTTTAGGGTCTGTAATCGTCATTTCAGTCCTTGGGACCTCATCTTGTAGGGCCAATAGGTGGGAATTCTCCAAGAGACACAGGTAGGATCGCGCCCCTCTTGAGCAGGAGTCTCAGGTCTTCCAAAAGACCTAGGTCTGTGTTCAGTGGCTTAAGAGCTCTTTTCCTTTGGGATAGAAGTTTGAGATTCCTCCTCCAGGAAAGTCAAATAAGGTGGAGACCTCAGAGATCGGGTCTGAACATCCCCAAGGAGCCTAAGCCCTTTCAAGAGTCTAAGACACTCTGCATGTAGGACAGTCCTCTCCTGCTTCGCTAGGTAACACGGCACAGGACCACTGAATAGCCAGACCTGAGACCTCAAGGGTCCTAAGTCTGTCTTCAGGGGCCTGAGAGTCCTTATTGTAGAATCAAGGTCCTGACACACACAGACACACACACACACACACACACACACACACCCTTTAAGGACAGGGATCTTCTAAGCTTTTTCCAGGGATGTAAGACTTTTCGCAGGGAGATATGATTCCCTTGCCCTTGGGGACAGGGACCGAAACCAACACCCAAGGACCAGCAGCTTTACTTGAGTACAAGAGACTCATCCGCTTTCTGAGTGACAAAGGTCTGCATTTCCTATCAGTGGCTGAGACCTACCTCTTCGGAGACAAGGCCCTGACTCTCTTCAGGATCTTAAGCTTCTTGTAAGAAGAGATGGGCCCTCAGCACCCCCACCAGGGGCCTGAACCTTTCTTCAGGAAAATGAAGACTC